AAATAAAGAAACCGGTGTATATTGCATTACTTGGATGTCCCCTCAGTAAATCTGCTAGATATGAAGGGCATTAATGAAGACACAGAATTGACTTCAAAGAAAAAAAAAAAAAAACATGTTGAGATGATCATAAATACCGCACCCATTAAGCAGGAAATGTAATCAAAGGCTGTGTCTGTATAGTTATGACTCAGCAAGAAAACATCAGACAACAAAATGAATTGTACAGATTGCATCATATAAGTAGGCCTACCAGGAACAATAACCTCTGCACTGGTAAAATGTCACCAGAAAATAAAATAGATTTGCAAAAATATGACAAAACTGTAAAGATGATAAAGAAAAACATTAAATATGCTGATATTTTAATAATAGTCATTCATCAAATAAAACAACTGGCAACATTTAATATGAATGCTATTCATGAACTGGGAGAGATGGACTTGAGAAAGGCATGAGATTTTAAATTTACAGTATTTGTATTTACAGAAAGAAACTAGTTCAAATGTAGACCAGCTAATGAGGAGGAGGCATGTTGGTTTTGATCAAAGATTCACTCACTCATTATGTGAATATTGATCTGAGCAAACTTTATTCAAGTCAAATTGTTTCTCTGACTTGTCTATACATGTTAATAAGTCCAATAATTTATTTTTCTTCTATGCTGAGATTAGTTGAAGTTGATTCAAAGCTTCCTGAATGTTGAGCTGTTTACTTATCAAATAACCAAGATACACATTTTTGTTTCCAACTGTTGAAAGGTTTTTTTTTTTTAATGGGGATTTTAGGTTTTTAAAGGTTTTTTAATGGGGTATTAATAGCCTGAATCTTACCACTTGGCTTATCTCTTTCCTCAGTACTCTACACATGTTCTTTCTAGATATGCAAAGTAAAATGATCCAGCTGAGTAAATGACTAGTCAAAATAAGCTCTTCAGACAGTCATAGTCCTCTTTCTGTCTGCTTCAGCAATGGAAGGTTTACTGATTCATGATGAGCCCTTTTATTTATGAGGAACTGCTTTCCTTCAAGTATCAGATTACAAGTTCATTTGCATATGTCTGTAGTGACAGGATCAGAGGAAGAGTCTTGACTTCATCCTTTCATTCACACAATACTGGGATCAGTCAAAATGGAGAGTAGTATTAAAAAATAAAATTCTATTAATGGATTTTAGCCATGATCCCACCTAGAATGAGTTTGTTAGGTTATCACACTTATCATTTTTTAGAACTGAAGAGTAGGTGCTACTTCTTTTGCTTGATCCTATAAGTTAAGTCATGAATTCAAACCCAGAAAAAATCCCAAATACAAATTAATTTTATTGTAATTAAATGCCTTTTACAATTCTTTAAGCTTTATTCCCTACTATATCCGTCATTTATAATTCGTGCCAATTCACTTTCCCAGAGTGTGATTGACACCCATCTTTGGTATTTTGAATGGAAAACCTTTTGTCAATTTCCCTTGGGGATTTAAGACTGCATTTTATATTATCACACAAATTTCTAGGGATGTCTCCCTCAAGTCCCTCCTGGCTGTCCAAAGCTCAATAAAGTGATCACTTTGATCCAGGCCTTGCCTTATCCTTTATTGTGATTATTTTGATCATAAGGTTGGCCAGGATCAAATTGTTATCAGGTATCTTTGTATTGGGCTGGTCCAAGTAGAATGAAGACATGAAATGATGAAGTCTGGCACAAGGGTGTCGGAGGTTCTCTTCAGGCAGGCAGTCATGTGTGTTGTTTCTCATCCAGTGTCTGGAACAATTCTCTTTTTGCCGCTTCAACTCCTTTGTATTTATTGACATTCACCCAACTGGTGTGGAGCATGACACAATTGGGGAATTCAATATTTTCCTTACCGTTTACAAAGAATCCCTTTCTCCTTTCAGGATCCTGAAAATTAATTACTTCCCAATTTGGGAGATCCCCTTTTTCCATGGACAGCAATCACAGGTATTGATCTGCCCCATACTTCTCTTATTAGCATCTCCCACTAACACTTCTCAATGGGCATGGGTGGGTAGCTCCTCCACCCTCCTTGATGTCTATCTGTGCCTGCCACCTCAGCTAATTTTTCGACAAATGGTTCTCAACTGCCTGGCATGGCTTAATCCCTAGATCATTAATCCAAAAGAATTATCATTTCAAACTTGTTTCCTATATAAAAAAATAAAAATTTTCCACATCAGTTCTATGTTTTTGTCTAGAATTAGACACAAGCCAGATGGCTTTTTCCTTTTAGTCCTGTCAGGGACATTCTCCAAGAAAACCCTTATATCCAAATTATGACTTTAAATTTTATCCAATTCTCTTCATTTCTGTTTTTATGACCAACACTTTTAGCAATGGTCATCAATCAATTGTCAGAATATTGCCATATGGCCCCTTCATAAAAAAAAATGTTGTTTTCTGTTTCTTGAGAAATAAAATCTTCAATCTTTCTCACGGTGGTTTATTGGTATATCCTTTGTTCTATCCATTAACCCTTCTTATTATTTACCAGTGGTCTGTCAGTATATCTGTCATTCTATTCATCAGCCTTATTATAATTTACCAGTGCTAAACTGCATTTAGATTTTTATGGATATGTTCACACCCTACTGTCTCCATTCTTGTAGTTTCTTCATAGAGATGTCCACAGCATCCGTGAATGTGTCAACATAGATGTTTAGTTTGTGATAGTCTATTACAGGATGCACCTTATATTTATTGGTCTGTAGTATAGCCATCAGCAGTAATGGTCCCTTGGACAGGCCAAATTCCTCATCAATATATGGCAGCAACCAACTGTTGTCCATACAAGTCTGCAATTCACGCACATACTCCTCCTGCAACTTGCTAGACACCGGATATTCAAAGATCCTGTTCCCAAGTTTCTCTGGTACATGATCTACTGACCACTTCCAGGCTACAACCCACACACCCCATCACTTGTCGAATTTCACACTAAAATTGGTTTTGTCGAAGCAAAGCACTGCACAGATGGGCAATGTTTCCTCAAACTTCAAGCTTCCAGTTTGTGTGATGCAAACACCACCAAACACCTTAATGGCATCAATGCTAAGCAATAGATTGAAATCCAGAGGCTTCCTTTGCATAACCAGCACATCGATCATGGCAGTGTTACCAGTTGCTGTGCAAATCCTAACGGTGCTGCTTCCGCAGCAGGCCTGCATGGCTCCAGTTATTGTGGTTATCACCATGTCCTTCTTTGACCAAGATCAACATAGCTATGCGCTTAGAATAGAATGTGAGCATCCAGAGTCAAGGAGAGCTGACCATAGTACACCATCAACATAGACACTGACAATAAGTAGCACTGAGATTACTTGTTGCCTGGGGAATAGACTGGCACTGATGTCTTGTCCCCAAATTCATTTTCCAGACAGTCTCTGACCAGGTGACCGGTCTTGTTGCATTGATAACAACGCACAGGAGTAGTCTTCCCTCTCCACATGTAGTCCCTTGTAAAGTGATTGGGACCATTATACTTATAGTATGTATCAGGTGGGCTTACAGCCAGGAATAGTTGAGCAATCCAGGCAGGTTGTGATGCAGCAATGACTAGTTCCTTCAGCTCCTCAAGTGACATATCATCCACCCTAAAGGAAAACCATAAGAGCCTCTTCATGAGGCCAGGAAGCCCCTGTACAAACACACATGCCATTGCACGGTCTAGGATTCCTCTGAAAAGGACCAACAACTTCCATATATCTGCCATATACATCTGTAGTTTCACCAGGACACAACACACGTACATCAAACTTCTCGTATGCCATGAAACTATCAGCAGCAAAGGCAGTGATTAATGCTTCCTTGATCAGGGCAGCATTTCTCATCCTCGAACTCAAACTCTCTCCCAGTTAGGTGAAGAGGGATAACCCAATCAAGCTGCTTCACCCCAGATAGATCACACACCAATTTCAGCTTCTCGATCAAGTCAATCACAGCTCCAGTCCCATCAAATTCGAGAATAATTTTCAAATCAAACTGGCTGTTCATTGTGGATGAAATATTTTCTGTAGTCGTGTTGACAAGTAGCAATCTTTACAACACCAAAATCTCACATCTGCTTGATTCCACATTCAACTTCTCTTTGCCCTTTACCACCATTGTATACTGCCTTTTTCCCAGCAGGTGGTCATTCTTCTATATTTAAGATGGCCAGTCCCCAAATGCATAATATCATGCAAGTGTCTTGAACCTCTCATAAATGGTGGTTTGGCAGGTCAGACACCTCGGGTGCTTTGGATCAGGTAAGTGCGAATATCTATTGTTACAGATTGACAAATAATCCTTATGACATCTGGAAAAAGAAACCATTCATGACTTTGATTTTAGTAATAAACAGCTCAGAGCTGTAAGGAAAGCTACAATTGTGACTGACATCATTAAAATATTTGCTACAATCTTTTCATTGATCTTCAAACTCTATTTTTGGTTTTTTACAGCATTATTATTTCTACATTTTTATACACAATTAAAATAAAAATTTAGAAAGGAAATTGCAGTCTTTTAATGCCTCTTCTTGCATTCACATTTTCTTTTTTCTATTTTTTCCATTAAAACTTGCTACTTCCTTTGTCTTGTATTGTTACATATGTATGAAATGTGTATGTGAATGTAACAACTATTAGAATTTATTCAACACAAATCAATATTTTTTGGAAATAAAGGGTAGCCACTTTTTAATTTTTTAAGTTTATAGGATTGTTATTTGCCCTTGTATATTTAAAAAAAAAAAAAAAAAGAAGCTATTGTAGTTGCTGTTCTATTTCAAATGAAAATAAAATCAATATTTAGGCATTACTAATTTCTTCCTAAATTATCGTTTTATTTGCATAATGGGAAGTAACTGCGTCTTTAACTTGATCTTCTCTTTTGAAGAGCAAATTTTGTCTGGCAAAGCCAATTTCATCAGCAACGTTGTCGTCGCCGGTGACTTTTTGTAGCTTTCAGTTTTCTTCAACTGATAAAACACATCTGACTACACAATATGCCGACTATTACTATAAATCGAGCATCGTTGATCAGTGCTTTGGGCAAAGAGTATAGTAAGTTAATATCATCCTTCGTTTGATTTTTTTTTTTTTTAAATAGAAAAATTATTTAGCGAAAATATTGCAATTTAAAAAATGAGGTGTTTTTTATTTTACAGATGAATTGAATATTTTTACAATTGATAATTCATTAAGTGTCGATTGTAAACATGTTTTCGATTTAAATTTCTTGTTTTGTTTCACAATTCTTTTTAAGTGACATCGAAAATAATTTTTACAAATTCTAATCAGGATTATCGCTTCTATTTTTCTCCATTTTAAAATGTTGATTGATTATTGAAACTTGACCCCAAGTGTAACTCATTTGTTAACTGACGTGTTTTTATCATTTTTTAAATGAATTCAATAACATTTTAAAAACTTTTGTTTTACACTTTAAAATTTAATTTTTCTTCCTCTTGGATTTTAATTTTAACCAAAAAATTTTAGTTTCTAATTCTCCACTTGAAAAAAAAAATTATAATAAGAAATCTCATTAGTGAACTTTTTTTACTAAAAATTGGAGTTTTTTTTTTCCTTCCTTTTTCTTCCTTTTTCTCTTTTGTTAATTACCAATTATTACTTTTGTTAGTTACCAATTATTTTTATTTATGAATATAATTAATTTCCAATAATTGCGATTATGATGTCATTGATCGTCTTTCTTGCCTGACAAGATTTGGCACGTGAACAAAAAATATTGCATTCATTCCAATTTTTTTTTGGGGGAGTGTATTTAAAAAATTTAAATTACACAAAACATCATTCATATTGCCTTAAAATGTGCGATTTTTTCTTACAAAATCATTATTTTATTTTATCAAAAATATTGAAAAATGAAAATTCAACAACAGTTATTCTTCTTGGTGTGGGGGCAGAGATTTTGTTGGTTGGCGTAGATTTTTCCTGAAAACAATTGAAATATGTCCACAAAAACTAAAGACTTTATTTTTAAAATTTGAAATGTAAAATTTGTAAATATTTTTAATTTAATTTTAATTAATTTGTATTTTTCCCCGTTGAGCGTGACCGAACGGAGGAAGATTGTGTTGCGCCAGCCTGCTTTTTTTTCTTTTAATTTATCAAAATTAATCGATATCTAATGAAAGTGTAAGTAAAAATTAAAGTTTCATTCACGCTTGATTTATTATTCTTTTATTTTTAGTTTTGTTTGACACAGGATCAAATGAAAATAAGATTGTGTTTTGTCTCTAGTCTACTCGAAATCTTTGTTTTCTCTTTCTCTTTTTTTAGCCTTTATGTTATTTTTAGTAGAGCACTGTTGCCGAGATTATACCACTCAAGGCTTGGCTTTCACAGAACTGAATGAAATTAAAGATAAAAATAATTTTTCATTGCAACTTTGCGGACTTGGTACTTCAAAATGTTTTTCTTTTTCAGCTGATGACGAATTTGCTGATCTTTGTTTTGATTATGGACTGGAGTTGGATGAAGTGGTGAGAAATCCATTTTACTTCTTCAGTAGTTTTATTTATATAATATATTAATTGGTAGCTGTGGAGGGTCATGCTTGCTCATGCTCTGAGGGGGTGTGGCACATAAATTCTATAGTTAATGACTTTGATAGATACAATAATTATGATATAATAAAAAGAATATACTTTTGATTTTTTTTTTTTAAATTTATGATGAAATATTAATATTTGCTTATGATGAACAGTGGAATTTTTTTGTATAAAAAGAAGGATGTTATAATTAATTATAGCTTTTCATCAGTATCATATGCTGTGAAAAAAAACAAACAAAAAAGACATACTATATTTGACAGTAGGTTAAAAGACGGATAGGTATTCATTCATGTGTAGCCTTTCTTGAACAAGTAGACCTATAAGATATATGAACACATGCCTATTGAAATGGGTGTGTGCTTAATATTAAACACACACCCATTTCAATAAGCATATTCAGGATAAAGGTTTTTAGTATATTTAAGCATGTAACATTTAAAGCAAGCTATGAAGCTACATTACAAAAGCATTTCATTATAGCAGAAAACATTATATAAAAAGGCAAACTCGCAGTATAGCTGAACATAAAGCAAAAGATCACAATAATGAAAATATCTTACAGAATTATAATAAGAGAAAATGTTGTCAATACTTTATGATAATTCCTTTTACAGTACTGATGATAATGCTGTCAATTGAGTAAATGATAATGGAGTTGGGGGTCAGTAGAAGTTGCCATCTGAGGTAAAATTTTAGCCTACAGTAGTTGAGTGTTGAGGATAAAATTAGCCTATGGGAGGTATCAACTTCGCATATAAAATGCAGGGTGATTTTCTGAGTCATTTCTTTTCTTGTATGTTATAAAATACTAGTAGTAGTAGCCAGCGTTGTTGCCGGGGATATAACAATAAAAGAGATAGATCAAGTATCCACCATCATAAAGACTGAAAAATAAAATTGACAAAGATTATTGTTTAAGGTTGATGGACACGCATGTCTTAATTAGTTTTTTTTTTTTTTTTTTTTTTACGAATTGGTCAAACTCAAAAAAAAAACATTGCTTTCAACCGTTATGAGTCTCTACCGATTGAATAGAATTTTATTAGAAACAATTGTTTTGTAAATGGAATTTTAAAGCATTCTGAATGTAAAAATAAAGAAAAAAGTGTGCAAGACAATAAGAAACACTAACTGCTAAAAAAAAAAGAAGTGAATTTTCGTTTTATCTGCTGAAAAATGTAGGAAATCCGATCCCATATATAAAGGAACACACACACACACACACACACACACACACACACACACACACACAAACAACCTGGGTTTTTAACCCGATGTGAGTTGTCCCCCTTTCATTCTCATGATGTCTCTTAATCATGTTTTCAAATTGATTTTGTGCAAAAACAATTGTATTTTCCCATTTTTGGCACTGTTAGAACCACCACAAGGTAATTTTATGTAGTCCTGTGAAGTTTTGTTGAAATCGGTTGAAAAATGTGGGGAATCCGATCCAATATATAAACGTACAGACACACACACACACAATCTGCGTTTTATAATAAGTAAGATAAGATGGTAATTATTCTCATGAAATACTTGTTCAGATTTTGATGATTTAATCTATTTATTATTCATTTTCTATACTTAGCCAAATTATTGCTTTTTATCTTTTATAGAAAACTCAAATTGAAATTAAATTGCTATCTTATTCAGATTTTAGTTTACTGAAAATATTAAATTTGTTGTCTTTCCAGAAAATCAATTATGAGAACTATTTTTGTCAGTAAATGATTTTTAATTTGATTTTCTTTCTTTTGTTGTCACAAAAGTCAAAGGTTTTTTTCTCTCATTTCAAAAATCAATACATTTTTATAAAATTTATTATTGGAGATGGTCTGACCCTAACAAGTGAATATTTTTTTTGTATAGACATCCGAGAAAGCAATGTTTACCAAAGAACAGGGTTTCACTGAGGCTTCAGAAAATTTGTCTGATGAAATTGTCTACAAGATTGACATCCCAGCAAACAGGTATTTGTGCTGATGTTTCTATATTAAGTGAAGTGAAAAATCTATACATTATACTTAAAACCCAGTGTTTTTCATTGCTACAGTATATCTTAAAGAAAACTTGCTGGCTTCCTTTCGACCCTTCTCATTTGTTGAGGATCAGGGACCAATCCTCTCCCTTAACACAATCATGCACACTACACCAGCATTCTTCCAATCTCTGATGTCATCAGTTTAGTGTCATCTTGGTCTTCTCCTCAGTCTCCTGTCATCAATGCATCCTTTCAGTATGTGGATGCAGAGGTTCTGGACCATGACGACATAGCCAACTGCTACTCTGAAACCTAGTTTTCTATCTTAAATGCCATTAACTTGAGGAGTATCAATTTCAAAGACATCACCTTGTTCTTCAATATGAACAAATCAAACATTCAGATAGGAAATTAAATCTACAAATCTGTGGAAGAAACTTATACATAAAACTTTTTTCCATTTGTCAATTATTTTGAATCCAGAGAATCCATTTTGTTGAATAACTCTTGATTCTGAAAGAAATTTGACTCTTGAAAACCTTTTGAATGGTAATGAAGAAAAAACTATATATGTTGATTTCCCAAAAATATTAGGAATGTATATTATTTTAATAAAAAATTGTAGCTCAAGTCCAAAGGGAAAATGGGGAAAGGCTGGGATGAACCCAGAAAATGAAACTAAAAATACAACAAAATATTCAAACTAAAACAAAACAGATGTTAGGACTTGTCCACTCCTCAAAATAATAAGGGTGGCCACTATATTCTGCCATTAGACAGAATCAAAAAGCACACTCACTAATGGAGTTGGAAGGAAAAATTAAACGTTGAAGTGGGGGTGGGGACAAACTGGGGAGGTTGGGAATCTCAACATGGATCATAACAAAAGAGAATGCCGAGCACAACACTTATTGACATTAACTAGGAAAACAAGAAACCATCTAACTTAACAGGAAACTGCTTCATTGTGTTCAAGGGGACTTAAAAGAGAAAATCAAGACTAGCCCCAATCACGTGAATCAGGCTCACCATATACACCCACCTTTTGCTGAAATCTGTCGATATCAAATGCTTTCTATCAGATCTTGTCTTCATGAGCTGATGCCCAAAGAATCCATCCTGAGAATAATGTTCATATCACAAGATTCTTTCCATTCGTGATGTCCACACCACCATTCTTGCCATGGCCAGCAACATGAGAAGCACCATCTGTTTCACCCTAGAGAAAGGGATATTACAGGGGTATGTGAGATTGATAGACACTAACTGATCGAGAGTGATGCAAGCCATCAACTTACCAACATAGTTCCAGAAAGGGTGTACCTGAGGAAAATAGTAGAAGGCATGCACAGCCGTTTCTTCTAAGCCAAGCTCACACTGATGACAGTCAGGCAAATCTCTCCCACCCAATCTGAAGGCTACATTCAGAACCTTGTCCTGGGTATGACGATAAACTACATCTGCATCCTGGGTATGACAATAAACTACGTCCAACAGCAAGGCCTCTGATAATACATTTTTGGAAAAATAATGTTGCCAGCTGTATGTTTATGAAAAAATATTACCAGCTATACTTTTTTTTTTTTTTTTTTTTTTTTTTTTTTTTTGAAAGAATAGTGTTGCCGGCTATACGCTTTTGAAAAATAATATTACCAGCTATACATTTTTGAAGAAATATTATCATCAGCTATATGTTTTGGAAAAATAATATTACCAGCTGTACATTTTGGAAAAATAATATTGCCAGCTGTACGTTTTTGAAAAATAATATTACCAGCTATAGATTTTTTACAAAGCAAAAATATTACCTAAAAAAAAAAGAAAGAAAAAGTTGTCAGCATTAAATGACCCATTGAGGTTGATGTGCCATAAAACAAACCAAACCATTCCGAACCAATAGCCAGGTAAGCAAAAACTCAGGGTTGCTGATAGTCTGCTGTAGGTGTCCAATACCAGAAAGAGTGCAACTCTGATGCTAACAAGCCGAGCTGATACAATAGTGTACGTGGCCATGAACAGTCATTGGACTGAGGAAGAGCCTTTAAGGCTGCTCGACACTCTTGCAGGATTCTCGATTGATTCTGAGGCTTACGATGGCACTAAGCCTCAGAAACTCAGTGAGTGTAATGCTAGAGAAGGCGTCCTTAACACTGCCTACCAAAGTCAAGTCTTCTGTCAACGCACAGTGTAGGGACACTAATCTTGAAGCATGCCAATAGCAGAACAAGTGTGACATTACCAGCTCTCCCCCCCCCCAATGACACGGAACTTGGGCAACAGTCTCTCTGCAGACCAGACACTTATGACCACCTAACGAGGGAAATCAACAAGCAATCGAGTCCCTTCTTTCTGTTCTTGCAGAGAGGAAGTACAACCAGTCAATAAAGAATATTCGGAAAGATGTATGTGGAAGTCTGGACCACCACTTCAACCCTTGACTGTACTTCGGACCAATTCTTCTTCAGCTGGAGACTGATCCTGAACCACACTCTAAGAATGCAGACGAATCTTTCCAACTAAAGTGCACTTAACTGCAAGTCAGATTTTCACAGTTAATTTTGGCCTACATCACTTTCTCATACCACTCAAGTGCCTTCTGTACTACCTCAATGTCGCTACGGCACAACACAAAAATAGATATGTCATCCGCATAGGGGGAACCCCTGGCTCAGCCTCCAGGGACAGTGATTCCATGTATGGCTGAACTCCATGCCCTGTCCCTTAGGTGGCAAAGAAGGGGCTCCAATGCCAAAGCATAAAAGTAAGAGTGACAGCAGACAACCCTGATGAACCAACTGAGACAGTGGGAAAGTGCTTGACCACTTCCTGTAACACAGCAGTGGGTAAGTGATCCACTTGTAGAAGTCGGGTTCAAATCCGGTTGCCTGCAGGACAGCAGCCAGATGGTCGACCCTATCAAATGCCTTGGACTGATCTAAATTGAACAGCATGGCTTCCTCATCAACTTCTACACCCTCTATGATTGTGCAAACCAGATGCAGCTTGCTTTAAATTGTTCGTCCACTCACAGTGCAAGTCTGCTTAAGTCCCAACAAACTTGTGAAAACTGACTGCAAACACTCTGTCAGGATCTTGATCAAAACCTTTAACTCTGTGTTTAGCAGAGTTATAGATCTATAGTCATCTAATTCTCGCTCAACACTTGCCTTTTTTCAACAGCATGATCACACCACTGGAGATCCAATCAGGAATGTACCCCTGCCAAAACCAGTTGTTGAACACCACTATCAAAATTGGGACAAAGATGTGCAGCAGCCTCAAGTACAATTCATAATGCAGACCATCAAGTCCCAGAGACTCGCCATTGTTGACCCTCTTCAATGCCAAGTGAATTTTGCCCTCTGTGATATTACCCTCACAGCTAGTCACTTCAGTCAAGGAAAGTCAGCCAAATAGCTGTGAAACTCATCACCACTCAGATCAGGCTCCTTGGTAAACCAGCTCTCAAAATGCTGCCAAAACGCCTCACACATGTCCTTGGTCAACTTCAGAGTATGCCACTCCGGGGTATTGAATGTATCAATTGGAACCTCGATGGATCTCTTCCTTGCTCAATTCTGCGCCCATATTCACAGGTTCATTAGACATCATCTTTAACCTATGTCTAATTACCTAATCCTGATAGCACTTGCTAGGTTCATGCTCCAGAAGTGCTATCCCCCCCCCAGCCTCCGCGACAATAGACTATCCTCTAGAGTCTTCATCATCTTAGCCCTATCTGAAGTGAAAGACCTGATCCTATCCTTAAGCCTCTCCCACCACTTATTCCTAATAACTACTATCACTAATTCCTGCAGCACTAATCTAGTCAGCTGTTGCCAGAAGTCCCACCTGTCCAGTAAAGACAGATTGAACTTCCAGTGTCCAGCCATTTTAGGCCTAGTGCCTAACACCATCTAGGTACAGATGAGTTTATGGACCGAATAATCTAACCAGTGGAACATGGGAGAATCTAACAAATCTAGATTGACCATTCTAACTAACATTCTATCCAGGTAGTTGGCTACCCAAAGAGACAGCCACTTAAGAGCTCATGTCCATATCTCCCACTGCAGATGATCCACCTGGTATCTATTGACAAGCCCAAACTTGCCAATCAGATCAACCAAGCTGCAATCGCCCAATGACCTCCTGCTAGCTACCTGCCCTCTGTCTATCCTGGGGACCAGGATAGCAATCCATTCCTCCATTAAGACTAAGTGCGACTAATCAACCCCAACTAACAAAAAAAGTCAACATGCTTCCCCTGGTCATTGTGCACATAAACTGCAACAATCTGAAACAAACCACTGCTCACAGCAATATCGGCCATGATCAACCAGCCTCCCATGTTGACATGGACAAGGTCCACCTTCAGATCCAGGGAACGTTTTACTAACAAGGGAACACTTCTGGCCTGCTGGTCCCCATATGCTGAATAGATAACAAAGTCACTAGACAGCACATGAGCATCAACATTGCAAAGTGTGTCTCCTGGATTGCAGCCACATCTATACAGGACAAGAGATCAAGAAGAGAGGTCACTTTACTCCGATCTCTTACACCCCTCACATTCAAGCTGCACATATTTGGCCCATTTTTTTTTTTTTTTTTTTTTTTTTTCAAATCTGGAGACTGTGTGTGGGCCATTTTAATATCCAGAAAAGTATCCTTGACTCCAGCTGAATGGTCCCATACTTTTAAATTCCCCCAGTATTCCTTATGAAGGTAATTACACCTGCGTCTCGGGGGAAATTTCTTCGATCCTCTGTAAATTTCCCATCTGTGGAGGCAAGCTTAAGGAGGTGCCTCAAAAGGACCTTCTTCTGGACAGAAAGGTCCTTCTCCAACACTTGCCTGTTCACTTGACAGATTTTTTTCTCCCTTGGGAAGAAATCTTTTCCTTTTCACTTTGGTGGGGGTGGGAGAGGGATAAGAAGAGGACGGAGCCCTAGAAGGGGAAGTGGAGGTGCTCCTAGCCTTACCTTT